GGTGTGAGAGTGAATGCGAATGTCTGCTACACCGAGAAAAGGCGTTGGCAGAAACACGCAACGTCCGAATTAAGGCAATTACGTCCGAATTAAGGCAAAGGATCATTTGTTTCATAACTGGGAAGATCATAGTAACTCCATTATTTGCCAAGCGAAGTCGGAAACAGTGCGATCGAACTTGTGCAGACGGCAGGAAGTGCATGTGTGTGTGGAAAAATCGCGCACGGATGCACACGGTCCAGTCTTCGTCATTCACGTTCTTGGTTTTTTTCATCACCCTCCATGCTGCTGCACGGGCAGCGGCTTAGTCCTGATTTTTGTCACTAGCTTTTTACTTTTCATCTCTTGCTGAGCAAAGCACTGCAATGGTCTTTTGTTTGTAGCTTATTTTGCGTATTAATTTTTGGTACTCGAAAATAATTTTAATGCGATTTTCTCCCTCAAGACCCCAGCTATTGAAATTCTATATTATTGAATTCACAATTGTATCACTAGGAGTGGTTAAGCCTTCTGCACATTTTGCCCATTTGATAAACTACTGCTAACTTTCTTCACGGCACCATAATTCCTCCCGAATGCGCGTGTTTTAGACCGGCCTGGGGCTGTCGACTCTAGACAAAAAAATTAGACATGAACAGGTATTACTTATTCATATCAAGACTGTTGGTGTCAGAGATTACATTGACATTTAAAACACGTTTTTTATGTGTCTCCAGCGTAAGAACGTCGACAAGTGTTTCTGATAAGTACTAAATAATTACTCCTGTGCCAGGTGAGGTATCCGGATTAATACGATAATTGGAACCCGCGAAAGAGCAGTGATGTGTCAAGACCTGAAATTAGTCACATTCATTTGGCCTAAGACCGCAATTAAAAGTGTCTACGATATGAAATTTGATTCTCCCGTTACATAGACGAAACGGTAAACTGATTATTTTTGGCTTCCCATTCTGCAGTTCAACCGTACTCAATGTAAGCTGTGATAGCAAAGTATATGCGACCTGGAAGTTACTTACGCTATTCAGACAAAAAAGCTTAAAAGTCGATATTTTGAACTACTCCATTCGAGGCATTTTTTTATAGCTGACACAACTTGTCCACGTATGCTAATTAGACAACCCTGCCTTTTAAACTCTGGTACCATCTGCAAATCATGGAGTACACAATATGGAAAATAATTACAAGTAGTGGGTGTATCGAGTGAACGCCTATTCACATTGCTTGCACGCAATCCGCTGCGACACTCACCCCCTATTGTAAACATACACCAGCCGCCTACTTCACCAGGTCCCGCATCGTGACCGCATGAAGGCAGTCACCGCCATTGCTACTCGCGACCGAACGCTGCAGTTAAGCCATGGATAGATACTGCCTCAGCTGTCAGCTTTGGGCGAGAAAAGGAACTGCAGTTGTACCGAGTGGAAATCTTAGGTTTTATAATATCAAATGGACATACAAGTAACAGCATCACGAACACGCTGGTTCTCACTAAACTCTTCATGCATCATTAGAAAAAGGCTGTTATAAACTTCCAGTATTAACCAATCAACGTTCATTTAATTTTGTATGGTTTTGAGGGCTTAATCAAACACAAATTTATTCCCCAGTACCTTTACGTTCTATTACAGCGATGACAGGAACTTCAAAGCTAACACAGCAAGCCAAGGAACCTTTTATGATATTTCGGTCTTCTGTCGACCTGCTATATTTTTGGAGTTCAGACCTGAAATGTGTCCTTTAAAGCTTCAGAGATTGTTGTTGATTTTACTAATTTGGTTATGTAGAAATGAGATCTATTAATTACTTATGTCAATTTAAAATCTTCATCTTATTCCATAAAAAGCGTCATTAGTAGCGGTATTGTGATGGGATACTGTAAAGCCAGTTCGATTTTGCTGAAATGCGCGGCTATCTTTGGTGTAGGCGTGAGTTGTCGTCGTACACGTCACTTTCCTTAAACAACAACTCGCTGCTCTCACCACACAACTTTTTATGTGGACCTCCTTTGTATTGAAAATTAGGAGACGGGGTTCTCAGTAAAGACTCTAAGCTGTCCTTACAATTGTTCTAAAAGTGCGAAAGTGACTGAATCTACCATAAGCTTATGTATATAAGAGTTGGTTATTTTAAGGTGAACCGAATGGAACTTATTGGAAGCTGCAATCAAAATGGATATTCGATTGTCGGAATGATGCCATTTGGGTAGTAACGTTGTCTAAAAAATTTATTTAGTGGGTACCGGCAAATGCAAACAAACACTAAGCGTTAATTGAAATACCCTTCTTGATGTAGTTTTTCTTAGTGGTACAATTTTATGGTACTCAAAGGATGCGCTTAAAGTAATGCACATTCTTTGCCCATTAGGTAATTTGGAAAATACGAAATTAATAGGCCATAGGTCCAGCTTCGTTTGAGCTAAATTAAAATATTGGTTTCACAAAAATTCAGTGGTTTTAGACAGGAAATATTCATGAGCCACACTCTAAAATGAAGCTAGAATCAAATAGCTGCATTTGCCACTGTTATTTGTGTCTGGCAATGTTAGTGTTTTGAATTACAGTCCCTTCTGTATGATTCTGGGGGCTGTACCTGGACTCGTCCTCAATACTCCATTCAAAATAGCATGACCTGATTTTACCCTTGTTTACATAGATGTAGGCGTAGCTGCTACACTGCAGCAAAGGGTCACACATCGCCGTGGATACCTAGTTATGCTGAATTCGCAGATTACTCTCTCCTGTCCATTTGAGACTCCCTTTTACAAGTGGACCAGACCTGACTACCCATCTCACTTTCTTGATGAGACCAAAAACCTCACCATTAAAGCAGACTCTTTCGGCGTCAGCGGCAGATACCAGTGCAGTGCAGTTAACGGCTTCGGGAACAGTCTGGCTGAAATGGCTATTCGAGTTGTTGGTGAGTCTCTCAAGAATTTCCCAATAAATACAGTCTTAGCGAAATAAACTTGAGAAAAGAAACTCCCAATATATCCCATTATCTAACTTCAACGAAATATTTTTTATACTTATTTAAGCGTAACTGCTGAACAATTGCGTAGATGGTTATTCTCAAGGAGTATGCATTTGCACCATTTGTAATTGCATATCTAACAATGCACAGTTAACACGTTTCCTATGCCTTTTGCCAACCGCTCGCTATATAGAAAAACGTTCCTTCCATTCACTTGAATTCACTATTTATACAGTAATATTATTACTAGAAAAAGGAATTGTCTCATCACAAATTACCGCCCTTGTCTATAAAAACATATTTGATCAGCGTTGCCGGTTGTTTACACAACTGACAGTACTTATTGTCTTTAAATGCGCTTCACTAGTATATGGAACTGAGGTCCAAGTGGTTGAAACCCCTATTTTGCGGGTCAAAGTGGTGTATTTTGTATCACGGTTTTGGCTAGCTACTTGATTAAGGCCAGTGCAGGCGATTTTCGGAATCATCAAGACCTGAAAGACACGCTTTCGAAGGATTCGCCCCAATGGAGGGTGCTCTGAAGTTTTTAATTCTATTATCCCAAAGAGTCACACATAAACGTTTGTAATTACATCTTGCAGTTAAAGAATGAGTCATTTAACAAAAGCCTTGCTAACTTTCCGTTGACGAGCCCTGTGGAAACGAATGCTGGGCTTTCTTCTTTCCTCTTTTCCATTCAGACTATAATTCACCAGCCATCAGGCGGGAATGTGCCCTGTCACGTGACGGAAAAATCAACAAAGCGGGTGAGTAGCAGGCTGAGAATGCATATTTCAACCCTATTTAAATATCTAGAACAGTCATATAAGCACTCACAAACATCACCTTCCACACACGTTTGTTCTCCTCATGAAGACTTTATTATGGTACACCAATTCTCTTGATTTGTCATGCACGGACGCAGCAGGTTCAATAGCAATGTTTGCACGCTCAGTTGCATTTGCGCTTCCACGCGATCTCCGCTCTTTCTTGTCTTTCCGCCAACTTTTCACCTTTACATAGGCAGCTACACCCCTCTCGCGTTCATAATGATGCCGCCATTGTCACCGTGTTGGTGACTTGTAAGAAGCCTCTACCTGATATAAACGTGTGTATTTGACATCGTCGACTTCGAATTACCGAACTTTATGCGAACGTATGTATTTTGAAACAGTCCTTGCAAATAATAATGTGATTGGTGTCCGGTCATGCTTAAAGGTCAATTTTGTGTGCTAGGAATACTTTCTGATGATAATTGAAGCTGGCGGCTTGTATTTCCGTTTATTTTGGATCTGAAAGACTAGCCCACCTCGAGCTTCCTTTACGTTTCGTTTGCCCATCCAATTAAAATACATTTTTTAAGCTTGGAAATTTTGCATTAGGTTTGCATTTTGGTGCTGTTAAGTTTTTCTATTCTGCGCCTCACACGGGCACACACACGTCGTGGCAGTTGGCTAAATCCTATACAAGCACGGAAAGGCGGATAAGAAGGAGGGATACGCACAAGCGCGCGTGGCATATACGCAGGACGGACTAATTTTTAGAAAACCCACCTCTGGTAAACACGGCGTGGCTGAGTCATGCCGTCCTATTCCGGCCTTGGCTGACCTCTTGACTGAAGCGCGTTTACCACTTTTTGGACGTGTTTCCATGGCTGGGTTTTGTCTACTTGGCCATGTGACTCATCCAATTAGTCGTGGGATAGGAAGGGGACCGGATGTTAACGAATGCTTAGCTCAAACGCAAGAGGGATTGGATAAATCGAATCAGCGCCCCATTCTACTCATTGCTGATGGGCCAATTACGTATGAGTTGCTCATAATTAAGGGATTAAAAATTATTGTCAGCGTTATAGGCTGTGTGAACAACGTCTAGGTTTTCAGTGGCCATGTTAAGTCATATCTATGACCTTCAATAACGGACTTAAATTCATTCGACTAGCACTGGAAAACTTAAGACAAACTTGAAAAAAATGATCGGCATTGAATTAATGAGGTTTTCACAGAACATTTCAAGGAAGTGTCACAAAAGTTAATTTGTTATTTGTTCCTCTGGGGCTTTTTTGAGACGAGCGTCTAGTCACTATTAGGCTAAAGAGCTATGGTGTTACGTAGGGTGAAGTTCCATAAGGCGCGTGTCGCACCTGCGCTTGGCCTGTCAGTAGGGCAGAACACTCGGGAATGGGCGGCCTCAGCCTCCGAGAAGTAGTCAGCGCCACCCACAAGACACTCAAATTCATGATGACGTTTGCAAGCGCGAAAAATGAAAAAATACCCTTCAGTGCGCCGTGACACTCAGTTGTGGGTTTTATTTGCGAAGCTAATTAAGGCTGTCTGTTCGATCGGCGTTAATAATGGCCATTGACAAATCCTAACTGTTGGGGCCAATGAAGAATACATATGTGCTTGTCGGTTATGGGTGCTCATCAACTATATGAAGAGATGTGCCGACAAAATGGGAGATACTGTCTGCGTATCTGAAATTTTGCCGGATAAGTCAACATTCTGATTCAGAATTTCGATAAGCACTTCACGTGTGCTCAACGTGTCTATTACTGGTCAAAAATTCCCCTCATTCGCCCTCACTTGAAACGCTGTATTCATTGCCCATCGTTTGAACAACTTAATTTATGGAAACTCAATCTGTTCAGGTAGTTGAGTCACACTGCACGTGGTTCTATCATCTGGGTTGCCCTCTTGCTGCTGCCTAATTTCCCTCTCTGTTTAATCGAACTAGCTAGTCTCCTCTGAGCTATACCATCAAAATTCTACTTAGACTTATTGATAATTTTCCCCCGAATAAGGAAAAACATTTGGAGCACTGAATTTGACGAAGTTAAGTTTGACGCAAGATAGCGATTTAAAATATGGGTTTGACTAATTTCTACCTTAGTATTAATTTTGGGGCGTTTTGGTGGTGACCACTGAATGATAACCGGTTGAAGGAACTTCACATCTAAGCGCACGAGTATATTTGATTCAGATTCTTCAACTCTATCTACCGTTCTTGCAGCCCTGGATTTCGACATTTGTGGTGATTTTGTTCTCGGATCATGTTCTGGGTTGATGACATGGTGCTCATTGCCTGTTGATACGCGTTTAGGTCCCTGCTTCCTCAAGAGTTACACTGACTCAGAACTGATGCTGACACGTTATTCGGGTGAGGATGTGACCTTCGATTGCAGCAGTGTAACTGCAGACGGTCGCACCTACCAGTTAAACTACGCCTGGGAGTTCCACAAACAAGGCCTTGGTGAGGCTCATTCGTCTGGGTCTCCAGCGAGTCGACTCATCCGTCGAAGTAACCAACTAGGTAGCTCCTCCATGCCCAGTGGGGGTCCCCCTTCTAATCCTTTGGCACCTGGAAGTGGCGGCAGAAATGATCTGGCCCGCTTCTCCGAGTCACAACTCACCATCCGCAAGGTCACCCTCGGCAACAGTGGTGAGTACAGGTGCACTGTCACCAATCCTTCCCCTGACCCCAGTGCCGCCGTCATCCCAAAGATCGAGAGGTCTTTTCAACTTCATGTGATACGTAAGTGATTTCGTTATGCTTATGCAGCAATACAATTTCAATATTATCATTAACACCTGTGAGATTTTACATCAATTCGGAGATCCTAGAAGTGCTACATTATGGGGCTTTTTGATATCACTTGCAAATTACATTGCTCGAACGCTGTTTACGGTCACTTTATTTAGCTTTCATATGGATTCGAATTATACAGCACTGTTTATGCACTCATCACTTCACAATATCAATTAGCCCTTAAAATGCCACAGTGGACGTTCATATATCGCAACAAAATGACACGCTCCTAGGCTCTGTGAGAGCATGTAGATGAACAGGAGTTGAAAAATCCACGTTTTTGATACATTCTCGTCTTTACGACTGCATTTGCCAAAAAAAAACATTAGATAAATTGAAATGTGTGATACTTAGGTCAGACTTCTTCTAAAAGGTTAAGCATATTCGTTAGATAACTTGACGATTATTTAGGGGTCTAAACAGATTCCAAAAGGGCTACTTATAGGGAAACGATCAAATGCTCGGAGAACATAAAAGCGCATTATGAGTACCCTGATACGGCACCCAAAATGAGTCGAAATGTCAAAGATATGTTGTGGGGCAGAATTTCCTCCGAGAACATTTGGCAACTGACTGAAAATTTTACCTAGGAAAATTATATGCATAATAATATCACAAATGTCTGGGAACGAAGAATTTATATTTGGTTCACAATTAACTTCCACAAATGACGATGAATAGAAGTTGGAATAAGTAAGGGAGTCGATATCGTCCAATGCGAAGGTTTTGCTAAGATAAAAGCAGAGGCTTTGGTTAAGCGAGGTAGTAACATGACCGGTTTAGCGTGAGGCCAGTGCCTAACCAGTTTGATACCTCTAATAAGAATTTTGAGGTTTTCAGTTGGATAACATATAGCACAAACATTCTTGATTAAACTTACTTATTGAAACGCCGATTCTCAATTTAGAATGCCATGGCTGATAAATACTATTATACTCATAAGTTGCAGCGCAACAGATTTATGCTGGATGACGGTTTTCTGGCTGTAACTAAGCGTCTTCGCTTTTTACTAGATATTAGGATTATTTAAAAGAATCAGCCTCGCTGATAGCGTTGGAACAAATAAATGGGAAAGCTAATGTTTAAACAGTTGCAATTTGCAGAACAATGATTGCAGATCTGTCTTAGATACGATAGATCAGAAGAACTAAAGCCACGCAAATTGACGGTTTTGACCTAATTTCATATCGGTTAAATTGTGCTTTTCTGGAGAAATTACTAGAAACTGGTCCTGCTACCATCAAACTTAGTTGAATCGGCACATTTAAATTTCGGAATTCCTAGTCAGGTGTTGACGACTAAACAAGACTCAAGTTAATTTCCATGTTTAATTGGTACCAGTTAGTGATGGTTTGTATAGGTTATTATGGGCAAAAATTTGCCTTACCGGGCTCCTCCTCTGTCTCCTTTTTTGGCACGAATTCGAAATCTCATGGGAGTCAGCACAAAAGGCATCGTACGCCTAGCCTTGGAGCTAGTGTGTATTAGTGAACCTAGTTCATCGTCACTTCTTCATCGTCGATATCAACGCCTTCCTTTTCCTTTTCTTCCTCCTCGCCTCCAATTCTATGTGCGTCATTATACCTTTTTTACCCCAATGAAAACTGGAGTGTGTTAGGACCAGTATGGATATTCACTTCTTAAGCTTCTTTTTGCTCTTCAAAACCTACCTTACATGGACATTCTGAGACAGGAGAGTAGCAGCATCGGTGTTCTTCCATCTTACATGGTTAGCTAGCGAAAATGTAAATTTGTGAGGTGTGTGTTGTGGACACGGATACAATGAAGAATAGTGGGCAATAGTAGTAGCTGGGAGTCGTGTGCGTGGACCTGAATGTGCACATTGCGCGTTCATGTACCCTTGTGTACACTCATTGCCTCTCCTCATGCAATCATTTTAAACTTAGTAAATCTCAACCCAATTAGTGGGCCAAAAGGTGTCAGATGAGTCCACAAACCCAGAATGCATAAAAGAGGAGAAAAATGGTAACAATTTGTTCTGGTAAAACGGACTATTTTGATTATTGTTCGGTTCTTTTGGATGTGGTATGGTTTAAATGGAAAAAATATTAACTTGCTTGAAATTTTAAAACGGAAAATTTCTGTGACTAATGCGTATCAAGTTAATTAAACCCATTTTTATTGGTAAGTGGTTTATTTTACTAGTGTATTTGGGACTGTTTAACTGAACATAAATAATTCCTGCTAAACAGGGGTCGAAACTTAACCATTAGTTTACTCCATTTGCTGATTTCGAATTTTAGATACTTATTATCCGTCTGAATTTTCTGATTATGTGTGAAAAAAAGGTGGCATTTTAACCAAGATCGCTAGAACAGGCTGTTTTTACGAACAATGTTAAAGAAGTGCGTTTGTGCTTGGTACGGTAGACGTCCGAGTATTTTGATAAAATGGAAGACAGAGCAGTTGCGCAAACTGATAAAAACGAACGCGATTGTGGGAAGATTTTGACGAAGATTGCTGTAGTGCATTTTTTTAAGTCGGAAAATATTAAGGAATGCATGCTCTATATGCTCATGGAAAATGACCAATCTTATCATGATGTTGAAGTAACTGCTGAAGAACGTCGTCGTTGTGTAGAAGTCAGCTATTTGGGTACTTTTCAGGCTTATTAGTTAAGCGATGAAAATGTAGCAGCAAACAAATCAGAACCTTTTGTAATAATCGTAATTTTTTTTCCACTGGCGTTTGCTGACAGGTTAAAACTATAGTATTGGCAGATGTAATGGCAAATTAAACAGCGTTTGACGTGAGTAAAAGATTTTGACAGTCACACCTATTGTTTTTAAATATCTGTTTATTTGTCTTGACGACACTGCACAGTCTACTTCAATAATTGGACTTAACAGTTGCCAATTGTTCGAACTGAGTTCTGAAAGAATGAAATAAAGAAGAAATCGATCGAAGTTTGGAGCAAGGATTAGTTTGATTCAGGTATCGTTAGGACGGAACAAGCGAGAAGGAATGGAGGAAAGTGGGATCGGTCATCCACGTATTCACATGCAATTTGGTCGCGTGCGCTGGCTCAAGTCCAATCAACAATTGTTCATTTGCACGCTTGCACACCACCGCCACCACTGGACAACGAGGACTCCACACTTCTGCCCAAATTCTACACGCATCTGTTATCTGTGGGCACCCTCGTGGGGTGCCATTTATCTCCGGTTCGGTGGCAGGTGAGGCGCGAACAAAACACATGGTCGGGTTCACCGTGTGCATCTCACGATCGTTCCCCCCCCCCCCC